GGGGAGGGGGTGCACAAGTGTGGGGGTTGGGGCCAGAGCGGTCATCGGGCACAGAGAGGGCGAAGGGTTACATGCATGTGCATGCCAGTGCGTGTGCTTGTTGCTTGTGCGGCGATAAAGACGGCCGTGCACACGCAGGCGAGCACTTGGCAGCAGGCTGGCTGTGCGATCTTTATTGCAATATTCTTGCTTTGTCATGTCACGCCCACATCTGCGTTTGCCCCAAAACGCTGCACATCCCATCTGCAGAAATTTGACCTGGACAACAACAAGCAGGTGTGAGTGGGAGTAACTGCATCTGTGTGTGTGCACGCTGTGCATTCACACTGTGCATGTGTGTGGACTCGTTTTGTGTTGCGTGCATGTCTATGTATGCGCTCGCTCTGCGTGGGCATGTGAGTATGCTTGTGTGTGTGGGGGGGGAGGGGGGTGTGCGCGCGCGTGTGCGGGCCTAGGCGCGTGTGGTGTGCATGCCTGCGCATGCACGCACATGCACATGTCAGAGGGAAGCTACTGACATGCTGTGTGTTCTCGTGGCCCCCTTCGCCCCCGCGCCTCGTTCCCACGCTATGGCGCGCAGCTGACCCTGGACGAGTACATTCGCAGCTGCCTCTTTCTTCAGACAGGAGCGAGGACCTTTGCGGCGTTTGACGCGCAACGTAGTGGTGAGCGGCCGCAGCGTGCGGCGCAGCCAAGGAGGGTGACAAGCGTGGAAGTGATGGCTCTGCCTTTTTTGGACCCAGCCATGGGGGATCAGGGTTCGTCATCGCAGGCGCGGCAGGTGGCGTACCATGTGACCTGCACGTTTGTATCAGCAATGCGGCGGGTGTTCCATCCATGCTTCATCGGCTTCCCGCTGTCTCCCATCCGTGCTGTGCAGGGAACATCAACCTGAACTTCAGCCAATTCGTCTACGCAGCCTCGCAGCTCGCTGGCTGACGTATGTAGCGCCGTCCGCCTCGTGGCGCCGCTCCATGTGACATCACAACTTTTGGGACCACCAAGTCATTGCTGATGTGCCTGGTTGCCGGTCGAAAGTATAGTACGCTCTCAAAAGTGCACAGCAGCTGACCTTGCCTGTTACCGGGTCGATTGAGCCATCTGTGCGTGGATTTCACTTATGCATGGATTCACCATACTAAGCTATCTATTTCAGTATTTCTAATCACATGCCTTCTTTGTACAGGTCCGCTGGCAAGTTTTCGCCAGGTGATGTGATCTCACCCCCTTGGCCACACTTCCCCCAACGACACAGTAAATCAAGTGGTGCCTGCCCGTTCAATTTGGACGCTCTGCACTCCAAAATGCAGCATTCCGCATGAGGCTAGTTGACGGTTGCGTCTCGCTGCAGTGCTGCTGACCGCATTGCCGTAGTGGCTGCGCGGGGGGGGGGGGGGGGAGTGCCGAGCCCTTTGCTGGGCCCAC